AATATAAAATAATATACAAAATAAAAAATTCTCATCCAATCACAGGGTATCTGTCAGTCAGTTGTTCTCCAGTGACATTCCCAAATTGTCAATTTGTCAAATTCCTCTCGATTGCCTTCTCAGCAGGCCGGCTCACAGCTGTCAAACATGAAGTGATATGAGTATAGACGTGTGTATTATTATCGGAGCAGTAAACAGACTGTGGCATTCACTCGTTTTTTCATATTCAGCTGAGCTAAGCTACCCCGTCAAGTATCGAGAAATCGAGCGTGTTTAACTTTATTATACGGCCAGAGAATGCAAAACTTGATCAAGAGTCGCGCCGTCTTTGAGATATTGAAGAAGCCGCTGCCGGAGCTGCTGCGTTTCTACAGGGATAGCGAGAGCGATAGCGATTGCGAGGAGAGTTCCACAGATGTTGCAACAGCTGCACCAGAGACAACAGCAGCAGCAGAGATAACAGCGGCAGCAGCAGCCGCAGCAGCTGCCGAGGCCGAGGCAGCCGCCAAGCTTAATGTGAATGCGAGCGTGTTTGTGCCGCGCTCGAAGGACACTGGGGATTCACGCCTGGTCGATGTGAAGCGCCACTTCGAGGCCATGGACGTGCGCAAGCCAGTGGGAGAGCCCAAGCTCCTGCTGCCCTGGAAAGGCTTTCCCAAGCCCCAGAATGTCGAGCGTACCGTCAGACCGCGTACTTATCCGCAGGCAAAGCTGGCCACTCCAGTCATCCAGTCCGAAATCCCAGCAGCTCAACACAAAGAGCTCAAGACTGCTGTCATAAATGAGACGGAGAGCAAAGCGGAGGAGGCACGCCCACCGACTGCCTTGGTGGAGAAGGAGTCGACGTGCGCGCCGCTGGCATGCTCGCTGCCGAGCAATCGCAAGAAACCGCTAAAGGACCGAGCACTGATCAAACAATCCCTATCTGACGATAAGCGACGCGAGCAGGAGCGCAAGGTGGCCCTGGAGGCCCTCAAGCTGGTGGAGCAGCGGCGCATGCGCGAGCCGACTGAGCAGCCAGAGGTCATAGTTCATCTGACGCGCGCGCCCGTCGAGTTCACGCCGGAAGAGCGTGTACGCGTGGACCGACTGCGCATCATCAAGCGGGAGCACATCGAGAACGTGCTGCGCGAGATGCGCGACGAGCGGGAGCTGAAGCAGCAGAAGGCGCAGGGTGTGCCGATCACTAGTCGCTACATATGCCTGAAGCGCAGCACACAGTCGAATGCCCAGCCAGAGCCGCAGCAGCCGCAGCAGCCACTGCAAGCAAAGCAACCACAGCAGCAACCACAGCAACAGCCGCAGCTGCAGCCCCAGCAGCAGCCACAGCAACCGCCTTTGCCCAGGCGCTATATACCCACAGTGAAGCAATGGGACGAGCGCTGCAAGGCCAAAGCCCATGAGGCAGCCGCCGGTGCCAACAAGGAGAACAATACTCTGGCCAAGGATGGCAGCCGGTTCGAGGAGCATGCCAATCCACAGCGAGCCATGGGGCCGTCCAGTCAGGGCAACATAATGCCCAGCAAAGCAGCGCCCCAGAGTGGATCAGCAGCCAAGGATCGTGAGCTGTTCGTGCCGCGCTATTGGCCCCCGGCACCTATGGTGGCCAAGGGCGAGACGCGTCGTGGGAATCTAACCCATGCCCGCAACATAACACGCGCCTTTGCCAACTGCGGTCTGCTGCCCACGCCATCGGCCGCCTGGGAGCAGGAGAACGTCAAGCAGGAGTACGAGTCGCTGCCGAGCGCAACGCAGAAGTCCGTGAAGCGCTACGGCATGGAGCAGCTGCTAAAGCTGGAGCCACAGCCCCACAAGCTGGAGAAGCCAATTATCGCTGAGCGCCTGGCCAAGCTTGGCTTTATGTGCGAATAGCAGCTGGAAGAAGCAGAGAGGAGAAGCCTTGGCGAGCCACTTCCTTCCCACCCACTGCAGCTCCCTCTCCCACTGTGTTTCGTTCCATGTGTATTCAGTTTGTTTGTTCTTGTTCTTGTTCTCGATTCGTTGCATTTGCTCAATGAGCCCTCACCGTTGGCCCAATGCATTTTATATCTTCCATAACGAGCATCAGCAGGAATTGCAACACAATTATGATTAATAAAGAAAAGCCCATTTGCAGCAAACTAAAATTCGACTCGACTTGGCTTTCACGCTAGAAAAAAGAAAAATGTAAACTGAAGTAAATATATTGAAGAATATTTAAAAAAGAATGATTTTTCATATAAATATTTAAGCTAGAATAGTATTTAATAAAAAAAGATTATTCATATT